TCCTAGAGATGAGCAAACGGAGACTCCCCACCACCACCAAGATTATACCCCCTATGCCCTGAGAATGTTCCTGCCTCTGGATCCTTGCCATACCTTTCTGGGCCAGGACCCTGAGTGTATAGTGGCCATGGGAGAGTCCCAGAGGCTGGGAATGACTGCGGAAATGAGGTGTCTGATGCCAGAAAAGACTCTTCCTTCCCAATGACGGGAAAATCCTTTCCGGATATTGCTCCACCCAACCTGTGCCCAGCCTGGGTGAGAATATGGGGGTGGGGAGCCCTTCCCCAGAGACATTACCCAAGCACACCCGCTCCCTCACCAGTGTGAAAGTTCATTCAGGCTCGAGTCTTGATGCCAACAGAACCTTTGATTGTGCCCCAGCCACCCTTGCAATATTGCCATAGCAGTGGGGAAGGGGCAATGCCCCTGCTTATCAGAGCTAGGCCTGGGACAAATGGGACAGAGTTAGGGACTAGCCTGAGGACATGACTAGGGTCTACATCAGGCCCCTACCCACTGATGCCACCTTGAGCCCCCAGTTCCTTCTGGCCCAAGTCCCTGCTCCTTATGGGAGCTGGGGCCCAATAGGATCTTGTTACTGCTAAATTTAGGTATTATAGGAGGGTACCCAGTGCTACAAGACCCAGGCTTGTTGTCAGAATGAAGGACCCCAGACTCTTTGTCTGTGGTGGAACAGGCAATAGGGAAACAGAATACCAGTTTTTTGTTTTTGTTTTTGTTTTGAGGCAGAGTCTTACTTTGTTGCCCTCAGTAGAGTGCTATGACTTCACAGCTCACAGCAACCTCAAACTCTCAGGCTTAAGCTATTCTCCTGCCTCACCCTCCCAAATAGCTGGGACTACAGGCGCCTGCCACAACGGCTGACTATTTTTGGTTGCAGTTGTCATTGTTTAGCTGGCCTGGGCTGGTTTTGAACCTGCCAGCCTTGGTGTATGTGGCTGGTGCCATAACCACTATGCTATGGGCGCCAAGCCAGGATACCAGTTTTGCTTTACCTTGTGACCTAGAGTGAGCATGACTTTTCCCTGAGTCTCAGCTTTCCTGTCTGAAGCTAGGGATACAGGGCTCCATGGAACTCCTTGTTTCAATTTTTCGCTACAATTCTATCCTGAGTGAGTTTAGCAGTCTGGCTGAGTTGATGAGACCAGAGCCCCTATACCTCATTTGCTCTGGGCCCCCAGGAAACTCCTACCACTCTTTGCTTTAGTTTCCTCTCTTATAGGTGGCTTTGGATGAATTATTCAGGATTTAGTTCTGCTTCTATGGGTTGGGGGTGGTGTAGGCACACACTGGAGTTGGGGAAATCAGTTCCTACCTCATAGTGCCCTCAGCTCCTCACCTCAGCACTGGAAAATAGGGTAGCTAGGATGGCACTGGGAGGGGGGGTGAATGTCTTCTAAGAGATAGTGACATCTGGAACCTTGATTCATTGAGGAATGAACTTGGGACCCCATCCCACTCTCTTCTTCCCTTAGGCATGAAGGATAGGTAGGAGAAGACCAGAGGAGTGACTGACCATCACTCTCTCCTTAAGATCAGAGCAGGATTCCCAACCTAGGATTGCTTTGACTGTCAGTACTAGGAGGGCCTGAGAGATGATCCAGAATGGAAAATGAGGCTCAGAGAGCCAGAGGGTCCCAAGTGGGGTTGTGAAGCTCACACTAGAAATCCAAGCCATAGCCAAGGATTTCTGATCCATGGTCCCACCTCTTCCCCATCCCATGTGGCCTTCTGGGGATTCCCCTTCCCTATCAGTTTGCACTGAAGCATCATGTCCTGTGACACCAGAGCCATTGACACCATATCCTATGGCCACTGGGAGGGGTCCCAAGGGTTCTGAGTCATGTGCCCTGTCTATGGAGAGCGAGTTACCTTCCAGCTAGTCCTTCTAGCAGGCAGTCTCCACCATCAGGACTGACTGCCCTGGACCTCCCCTCCTTCAGCCATGGGCCTAGGTGGGAATCTCCCCCATGCACTCTGGCGTGTCACTTCCCCTCCCTGTGCTTTGAATGTTGCAAGCACAGGGCTTTGCACAGAGTGGGTATTGGTGATTGGGGAGAGGGTCCCTCTACCCTCACTTCCCAGGACAGACCAGAGAGTAGGGGCACAGAGGGTTCAGAGGCAGGATTTCAGTTCAAGCCTCATCTCCTCCCTCCATCTAGGACTCAATTTTCTCATCTGCTGAGTGTTTTCTACCTTGCCATTCTCACAAATGGAGCTGGCCCCCAGGAGCTGGTAGAGAACTCGGTCTTGGGTCTTGGACCCTGGCACAGCAGAGGAGGAGGTGCAGATTATAGACGCAAGTCAGGACAGGGGTGGAAGGTAGGGATTATGGCTGATCAGGTCCCTTGGGGCTAGATGTCTGAAGCTTCCCCCACTCCAAGTGCCTTTGTCTGAAGGTACCCACTTAAGTCTTTGCCCCCTCCACTTCCAGTACCTCCTGAGATGCCCCCTAACCCATGTGTAAGGGCACAACCAAGGCCATGCCCCCAGCCAGGGTATAAATAACCCCTGGCGGGCTATCCCAGCCTGGGGGCGCTCTACTGGCAGCCCTACTTCCTCTCTGGCTAATTCCCAGCCCTGAGGGTGGGGAGTGTTTACTTTCCTGTTGTCACTGTGACTGGGTGGCCAGGCAGGGGACTCTGAGTGGCCCAACAACAGGTGCAGGACAGGTGCCCAGGCTGCCCTGCCCAGGACTTCAGAGGCGCCGCTGGACAGGCAGGGTGAGGCCATAGCCAGGCTCTTTGATCCCTTGGCGTCCCTGCGTCCCAGTGGTTGGCCAAGGTCATCACCTGTATTCCCTTGTCACTGCATAGTCAGGGCTGGGCAGAGCAAGGCCTTTCCTTGCTCCCCAGCCCCTAAGAGTAAAGATCTAGTCTTAGACAAGTGCTGTGTTGGTTGTTGGAACCCCTGGCCCCTAGCCTGCCTCTACTCTGCATGCCATCTTAGCCCATCCTGCAACTCCTGTCTGATGCTGCTCCCAGGCAAAGCCCCTCCAGCCTACCCAGCATAATAGCAGGGGTCAGGGTCAGCCAGGCTAGTAAGGGATAGCTGCCCTGAGTGGAGGGTGATCTTGACTGATGGGATGGGGTCACCTGCTGGTCCCATCTTCAGGCTTTTCGGGGCCTCAGATTCCACCTATTCTTCTCCTCCAGGTAGGTGCCTTGGGGCCTGGCCCAGGGCCAGGATTACCAGCTGTGGGGAGGGGAGTTGGGACATGTGTGATCCCCTTGGTGAGCGCCTCACGTGAGTGGTAGGACACGTGTGCTTACCTTTGCTGTGTGTAGGTGCATGTTCTCTTCTGCGTGCTGCCATCTGAAGCCCCTGTGTGTGTGTGAATATTCATCATACTTGTTACAATCTTCCTTCTCCTAGTAAGCTAAAGATAGCTGGGGGTGGGTGGAGAAGGGACTTGCCAACGGGACCCCTCAACTCTCCCCTTCCAGAGCCAGTTTCAGAGCTTCATAGAGGCCTGTGTCTGTCGTTGGCCTGTCAGTGTCTGATCTCCACCCTGTCCTTAATCTATAAGAGGGAGGACTTTTCCCTGGCATCCTAGGGATGAGAGGGCCAAGGTTGCTGGACTCATACAGAAGAGAAAATAGAAGACTCAACTGGACCCTGCCAGCAGCTCTGGGACACTGTAGCACCGGGGAAGAGGCTCTTTAGCAGAAATGACTGTTCCTGGTAGATTCAAAGTGGCCTGAGAGTTCCACCATTAACAGCCTTGTGGGGCCTGGAGGAAGCTGGGGTCTGTAGGACAGTGATTCCAGTAAGGCTTTCTGGTATCCTGGCTAACCCACTTCAGACAGAGTAGGGATCTTGCTGTGTACCAGACTATAACCACTGTGCTATGGGTGCCAAGCCTTATTTTATTTTTATTTTTTTGAGACAGAGCCTCAAGCTGTCACCCTGGGCAGAGTGCCGTGGCATTACAGCTCACAGCAACCTCCAACTCCTGGGCCCAAGCGAGTCTCCTGCCTCCGCCTCCCAAGTAGCTGG